CATATCTAATATATTTACTGGCTATACTCGTTTTAAGCACGTGTGTATATTATAACGTTTTGATTTTATTTTTTTTATTTTTTTTTTATCCGAACACCACCGTGACGCGTTATGTGATGTTTTTATTGCACTTTTTCGAGTTTATACAACTTTGTAGATTCGTTATCGAACACCGGGGATTTTTATTAATTAGTAAAGTCTGCATTCTGCACACTACATAATAATATATGAAGACTGCTAAAAAGCACGTTGGTCCACGTGTGGACGTCTTGATCGGCGAACGTCATCATTTAGTTAGATTATTACTATCACCATCATCATCATCATACGTGTGCACGGGTATATATAATATAGTATAATGATTGAGTGTATTACTATGTATAAATATATATATACATAGTGTTGCGGTTGTATGTGTTAAAACGGGCTGGAAACTTTCTGAGGCACATAAAAACACGAAATTTATGGCCACGCAGTACGGGTTATTATAATATCGGGCCATTATAATATTTTTCTACCAATCTCGGAGTAGGAGAACGGTTTTCGAAATTTATGCTTGGCGAGAACCAGTTTTTTTCCATCTCTTTTTTTCCGTACCATTCATAATGCGCGAACGTGTAATTTATTTTGTTTATAGAACAACCTAAAAAAAAAAACCCGTTCCAGATGTCCTCGTTCGATAAAATATTAAAATAATGACATCCCTCCCCGACACCCCCTCGCCAGCTGTCTACATTTCCTATCTGTGCACACGTAATAACAACAATTAAGCACGCCTATGTAAATATATATAAATGTATGAATAATACTACGAAGATGCGAACCCTGCTGAAATATTTATTGCCACCCGAAATCAAAATCATAATATTGTAATCTCATCCAGTCATCCGTAGACCTCTGGATTTAAATTCAATTATATAATTTTAATGCGTTTGAGATGGGATTTACAGGTCAGCTACTAAGCTTATATTATACTTCACTATAGGTAATAATGGTAATATGATACGTACAATGTTGCAAATATTAATATAAAATGCTCCCGTGTTTATTTTATACTTTAAAGTATATTTCATGGAAATATTGTTGTTGTTGCGAGATTAGTATTCTTATTTTATTTTTGTTTTTGACAATTTACAAATTACGGTCTTTTAGGAGGTCTTTTATTTTAAAATATAAATATTTAGTGATACTACAATTATTATTAATAATTATAATTTGTATTACTAAATTGTATAATTTTGGAGAACGTGATCAAATCGTTAGAACTCCCTTTTTAACCACCATAAAATTATTTATTTTGGATACTTTCATTAAAAACATTATGTTCAGCACACCATAAAGTTATTATGATTGAAAATCGAAATAAACATTTTAGCGCTGATATATTATTTATGGATATAGAATAATATAAAGAATAACCTTTTTAAAGTTAAAATATCACATACACATTTTTTATTCTTGAAAACACAAAACATAATCATATAATAAACATATACGAGGTTTAGTATTGTCAATGGTATTTTTAATTATACCTACATGTATTCCCTAATGCAATAGATTAATAAAATGATTTTTGGCATAATACCAATAGGCGTTGTAAATAATATTTTATGCTGAGAAAATATATGTATACAAGTACGACTTCTATAGAACCAAGTCTGATTCAGTGTTTTCTAAAATAAATATGTACCTATTAGCAAAATTAAAATTTTTCAACATAAGGCATGCGAAACGTTTATTAATTATTTTTTAGTGTTAATTTACGAGGGCGCATAGATATTTGTAACTGTCGACAAGATGGAAAACGTTGGTAAATAATTTTGTTTAAAATGTTAGAGCCTAACATAAAACATGATGAAATCGAAGAAGTTTTTATTAAATAATGAAAGATACGTATGGGTTATACACTTATACCTTATACTTATACATAATACGACTAAAAATACAATTAACGTTTACTATAAAACAGAACATTTATTTCTTGGTTATTACCTACGACTTATCTATAAGAACTGTGGTTACCTAATATTATGTGAATAATATATTTTTGACATCAGTGAATTATGTTTTAATTTATAATACATTTTTTAACTTACTAGAGAGATAATAATATATTAATTTCAATAAATCCATGTAAATACCTCATTTATGCTTATACTTTTTATATTATATTCAATTATGATAATATATTACCTACATACTCAAGAAATATAAAATGATAATCAAAATAATGTTCAAAGTTTTAGTGTTGATACAATAAGGAAGCACAACGTCAAGTATAAAAATACGTTTATCGAAATAGATTAACGAAAGTCCCGGGGGAAAAACTCGGCGCAACAGTGGCGTTTACGTTTTAACGCTTATTCGAGTCAGCCTGGAGCCCGGGAGGCATCACGGTCCAGACTCTACATGTAGGTTCATACGAACCTCGCTCTGAACACGACCTATGATCTTTCGGTAGCATATTATAACAACACTGGTGTACAACGACGCGTACAACTTTCATACGCGAATAGACATGAAATCGCAGCTATAAATAAATCGATTAATAATATACGTTTCCTAACCCGATCCGAAATCGTAGTATGTAAACCGTACGCGCCATTTTGAAACCATGCATATTTATAACTGGTACCCAACTAACCTACCTACCCGAGCGCATTGTAATAATAATAATATGTGCACCCATAAACTTATAAATTATAATAAACCTATTTATGTTTTAAAAATATATGTAACGATAATTAACGCAGTTCATTGAAATGAAATTTTTGACGCTGTCCATAAACGCGGTTTGATAATGTTTAATATAATTTATATGTAATGTATATATTATATATGCAGGCGGTTTCCCGAATCTGTAGCAGTGGCAATAAATTAATTTACTCCGAGGAGTCGGACAGTTGACAGGCGGTAAGGTAGTTTGTGGGACAGGGTGTGATCGACATGAATTATCGATCGGTGGACGGTATTGTCACTTGTCGAACTTACAAAAATGTCCATCCAAATAATATAAAATAACAATATATAATATGTATAATAATAATGAACGAGTACCGCCAGAAACAGATAGAGAAAATTAATAGTCGTAGCCGGATCGTCGCCGACGCCGTCCGAAAAAAGAAAAAGGGTGGTTCACAATAGAGGTGCTTGAGATGAAACCACCCTAACCAGTCGGTTATTATATTTTATTTACCCGTATATGCGCATTAGACAATAAAAAATGAACATTGGATTTCGTTTGTATTTTTTTTTTATGATTCCGAGAGGCGTTTATGAAATATTGTCGTGTTATTGCTTTGTTTCATTATGGTTTCATAACATATAAACGTCTGTTTCGGATATTTTAGAAAATGGCAATAATTTATACAAAAAGAAACATACAGAAAACTAAATTTATTATGAGTATAAGACATAAGTAGTGGGTGCCATTAATTCTACGGTTTGTACAATATTGTACGTTATGTTTTCAATATTTAAAATTGATTTAATACTTACTACAGTTGCACTTGTTTTTATTTTTCACTAGTGAGTACGATTTCAAATTAATGAAACATAAACAAGTTAAATATAAACAATATAAAAGTCAATTAGTATTTTTAAATTCATATAATACTTAGGTATATTATTTACTTATATATATTTTTATATTTTATAATCTTGCACAAGTTAGTCGCTATAGTCATTTTAAAGTAAATTATTATATAGGTAAAACACTGCACATAAAACAGTGACGAGAATCCCCACTCCCCACGGTCAAGCCTAAGTTAAATTTTAATTTTAAATTATAAAAATCATGGTTCATTTTTCTTTTTTATAGAATATAATTAAAATGGTGGTGACAGATCGTTATCGAAGAAATTAAATTGGATATGGGATATACTTTTAAATTGCTTTTCCGTTTGATGAACATTTTTCGCCCTTTTAGATCGACATCAATAATAGGTTAATATTAATTTAAAAATGTTTCAAATGTTTATATAATAATCTTATATAAATTTGTTATTAATTATTTATTTTGGCTATATGATCGTTATTGCATTTATATTATTAGATGGATTATTACAATGGATTTGGATATAAAATGCAACTGTCTAAATGTTTGAACCTCAATTCCCCCCCCCCCTTGGTAAATGATAATATCCACCACTGACATAAAACAATATTGTTATAAAATAGTTGCCTTTATTAAAACGATGTGATCATTACAAACACATTAATGATGAATTAGAAGTTTTCGACAAATTTAAATTAGTAATTCTGTACATATATTATAAACATGCAACCAGAAGCTAATACAAACTCATTTTCACCCAAAAAGTAATTGAATTTGAAAAAAAAACTCTCAACGACTCAGTTGATTTACAAATCATGTGATTGTGATACTACATTATCGTGACATAGTGTTTTAATTAGATTATACTACAAATAAATTCAATGAGTGCGTACGTGGTTCAACCACATTTTCTTTCCAGGCGCATGTGATATAAGTTAACCATACATATAATGATACTGAATACCTCAGGCAGGTATTTTTTTATCAAGGTATATGTGAACTTTAAAAAATCAAATGACTAATCAATGTTTAATGGAGTGCAGTGCAAAAAGACCATGATTTTTTCAGTGTTATATTAGGTGTATTATTCTTAGTGGTAAGTACATTAAAAAATAATAAATCTACAAAAAGTCAAATGTTGCAATAAAAAGACCATTCTCCGATGCCTAATCAAAAACCAACAATGACACGATAGCTTGTGAGTTTGTGTAATTCGAGGGCGGGTGAGAAGGTAAGAAGAAAGTAACGATCCACATATAGGTACTGACAGTGACACTATGTCCTGCGACAGTGATAAATTACGGTTTATAAGCAAACCTATTTACTGTCATATTATAATATGTACCCACGTTTTCAAGCGTGATACCAGGAGGGTAATTGGCGGTACACAAGCGTGTGAAACACCATAAAATTATTACGATATAGGTATATAGTGATTGCGTACCTGTGTGAGTGCGTTTGTGGATCTTGAGATTCTCGGACCGGGCGAACACCTTGCCACACCCCTGGAACGGGCACGGAAACGGTTTTTCGCCGGTGTGCACCCTGATGTGGTTGACCAGCTTGTACTTGGCCTTGAACGGCCGGCCCTTGCGCTCGCACCCGTGCCAAAAGCACGCATGCGTCGTGCACTCGGGCCCGCCGACATGCTCGACCGTGATGTGCGACACGATGTCCTGCATGGACCCGAACATCTTGCCACACGTGCGCATCGGCGGCCCGGGCTTGTCGATCCACAGGCACGACATGTCCTTGAGCGCGGCGGCCGCCACCGGGCCGTGTCGCATGTACCGGTAAAACGCGCCGCCCGGGTGACCGCCCCCGCCGCCGTACGGGTCTTGGCCGCCGTAGTCGTTGTGCCGGTGCACGGACGCGGACGGCTGCAGCGACGGCTGGTGCGGCGGCGGCGGGTACGCCTGTCCGTGGTGCAGCTGCAAGTCGTGGTGCACGGCCCCCGGGTACAGTCCGCTCATGTGATGGTCGCCGCCGTGCTGGTGATGGTGATGATGGTGGTGATGGCCGTGGTGGTGGTAGTCGGCCACGTCACGGCGGATGTGCAAAAAGTCCCTCGGTCCCGGGTAGCCCGGATGGTGCGCCGACGGTGGAGGTGGTGGCGGCGGCGGTGGTGCCGGCGCTGGCTGCTGCTGCCCGTAATGCATCTGATGGTAGTGGTCCTGGGAAGCGGCCATGTAGTCTTCCTCGACCTTGACGCCCATGCCGTTGACCAGAGACGCGTTTTCCATAAACGGGTTTAACATAACGCGGTCGTCATTTACGCGTCACACCCTCGGATGTTATATATATTATGATGATAAAATGACTCCGGTATGATATATATAATATTACAATGAGATGCACCGATTTTACCGGTATCGCGGTGGTATTTTGGCGAAGGTCGCGAGGTACGGACGATGATGCGGCAAAAAGTACACAACAACAAATGTATAATTTGATATACCTACAACAATATTATATAATAGTGAGTGCACGGACGGATCGCATATCGACGCGGCGACAAGAGATAAAATTATTTACGACGTCGGTCTTAGCAGCGCGGCGGCATCACTCGCGAAAAGTCGGGCGCACGTGTATAAAGGAGAAAAAGAAAAAAAAATTATCGATACGAAAAAATTTAAAACAAATAAAAAATTTTAAAAAAAATAATCGCACACTGTTCGTCGTTATTATAATATTTCACTCGAGTGCGGGCGCGCACGTCCACGGTCGGTCGGGGTATTCGCAGCGGGTTGTTGAACGCCGAGTGGCTCCACGGCGTGACTGACGCAGCGGGTAAACAGACCGGGTCGTGCGCGCCTCGCGGCCACCGGGGCTCCTCCCACCGAACGCCGGCCCGGCCAATGGGTGGACGTGCGGGGCCGGCGGTCCCAGGCGCGCGCGCGTCGCGCCGGTAGTCATCGGCGGGCCGCGGTGGCGACCGAGTTTTCACTCTCTCTCGCTCGCTCCCACTCGTTACGCGTCGCGTCCGTGGGTGCTTACTGCTTATACCTACCCGACTACCGCCGCTGGCGCATATACCGCGGTCGCGGTATAATAATAATGATATATAAATGATGATAATGCGCGCGCGCTCGACTGACGACGGCCTCCTACCGTATAATTAAATATAATATTGTGTAGAAAAACGGCACCACCTCAATCGCGCGATTATCGTCGTTTTCACGCAAATATAAAATTATAATACACGACTCGCCATGACATAATATTATTATTATTATATTACCAGCTGTACCTATATTGTGATTTGTAATGCTCCCACTATTATATATGCACACTGTGGCTATAAAAAATATATTTTACAATATTTAGATCAAGCCGCGACTATATTATAAATTGTTTTATTATAGAGCAGGCCATTGATAAATGTATATATTATGATACCTTTGAGCAGGAATAAAGGAATTTAAAATATGGAATTGGAGTCCAAGACATAGAGTATCAACAACACTGTTCTATTAAATACAAATGTCAAACGCGTTCTAACATTCTAATTATAATCATTAAGAAAACGGACAAACCCAATACAAATTTAGATATTAATCTTAAAGCTAAAGTGCGTTATAGAGATATTATAATTACCTCTAAAGTCTTAAGATAGGAACATAAGTCTACCTTTTCCATATATTTTTGTTTTTTAACAACCGGATTGAACAACCAGAACAGCTTCTTTTTCTCAGACATGATGACTGATGTATACGAAAACTACGAAAACTACGAGTATCACAATATTTAATAATGAATAATGAACTTGAGGAAGTAAAAACTATTAGAGTTGGTCTCGGTACTCGTGCACTCAGCGTACGCGGAAAAACCGAATGAAATAACGAACGCGGTCCATGACCCATGTTGACGGGCTCTACACCTGCAGCATATCCGCGACTGGTCTAAAACGTGAACATGGTAACTGATAAGTGGACCGTCATAATAAAAACTGATAAAATATTAGTATCAAACAAATTGATAAGAATTAAGAGAACTCCCGATCATAGAAATTGTTATTATACGTATATATGTATATTGTATATAATATAATAAACTATATTATAATTATTTACATACGTTGATAAGGCCAATGAGGGAGGGTATGGCTCAATGCCCCCCACCCATGCCTATACCATTAGGATTGGACTGTTTACAAGTGTGAGGCATAGGGATCATGATGTGTAGAAGAAAACCTATTATGTTATCAAAGAAATTCAAGCTTATATAAAACTATATAATATTATAGTCTTATTTTAAAACTTATAAGGTGTACATAGGTTTCATTTTCCCAACAAAAACAAAAAACACATCCCTTAAGGCTTTATACTAAAAAGTAAAAACCGTATTTAATATCTATAGACTGCTCGTATATCTTTATACATATTTTACCAAGATTTTCCAAGACTTTCCATATTATAATATAATGTTATATTATTATATATTTATGTCTTTCCTCCCTATAATATGTAAGCACTATAATTATATACGTACTACGTAAAATACAATTATTATTTCTAAATGTCGGTCGTAGCGGCGTATGGAACTGTATATTCTGCGAACCTCCAATATAGGATATCAGTATAGAAACAAGTACACAAACTTGATTTAGTGAGTCAAAAAAGAAACAGTTATACGCTGTGTTACTTCATAAATATTGCAATGATTCTTATAAAGTACCTATAAAATAATTAAAGTCTAACATTGTTTTAGAAAATGTACATAATACATGTTTACTAGGCATATTAAAAAAATCATACCTTGGTATAAAAAAACAAACTCCACACCAATTTTCTATTACAAACTACAAAAATAAAAAAAACAGTTGATATTTGGTATAAAATTATGTAGGCATATTATAATATAGAATAGAAATTACTAATTAGTAATAAATTATTTTATATATTTTTTGAAATATCGTTTCCACCTGTTGTAGCAGAGATCCAAAACAAAACGATGCCACATCAGATATATTTATAGCCTATTCCTATATAAACTTATACCTATGTAATATTCACTGCAGCATGCAGGTAGTATCTTTCATATTATAATATATACATAAATGCATAATCGGAATGTGCATCATTCACAGTGACATTACGTGGCGTCCATATAAACTATTCGCCCCAGTGACAGGGGGAGGGGGCTAACTCGATATTTTACCATCATTTTAGTATATACATAATTTAATAAACATCTAATGTTAAAAACTTCAATAGTTCCATATGTTCTATAAAATATAACATGGATAATATATATTATTAGATTCCAACACCTGCGTTAGCAATATTATATGAATATTGTGTGGTAATAATGATTTTTCTATACAAATATAATATAACTGTGTGTGTAGAATTGAAATGTATTTTGTATTCACATAATTGTCACTTGACATACCTAAAGAATGTTGTCTATATATATGTGTAGATACAGATTATTAATGATGAATAAATATTCTAAACGGGAGAATATGAGAGGAATTTGAAAATCAATTTGATAGGATAGTTATTAACACCGAGTACAATTCAACGTAAGTACCTATATTAAAATACAATAAAATGTAAGTAGAATGTAATATTTTACTTTACTGATGGCCTATATATTATACAGTAAAAACCTGGGTTGGGCAGTATCTTCGATAGAATTGTATCTTGTATCTCGTTATAATTATATGAAGTATCGAGCATCTTGTATCGCGAAACATTTTTAGACAATTTATCGAGTATTTCACAAAATAATTTTGTCAAAAAAAACTCAAGGTAATTATTATGAATTTAGTAAAGTTATCGAAAATAGTTGGATGTGGAAGATGTGGTGGTACTCCATGATAATACAGAACAAATTGGTACGTAAAATTAATTACGCGCATCCAGCAGAAATATTGTATATAATAAGTATATAATGGTAAAATAATATAAATATAATGATGGTGGATCATACCCAATGTATCATATGTATGCTGCAGCAGCTCTAAGAATTTCCATCTGTTTAAAATTTTAAACGTAAAGGAGAAATCCCGCGGGACGTAACAATAATATCAGACATAATATTCAAGACTACAACAGGTGGAACGTCGATGATGTGCGGTCTGCGGACTATACTTTACTGTACATTATTACTCATGGTTCTAAATTACACTGATGTTTAACCAGTAGAAAAAACTTTGTGGTATTGATGAAATATGTGATGAAAATAATATTGCTCTATTTGTTTTTATCTCTTCTATACTGTAAAAATTAAAAAGTAATACATGAACTTATTTAAATGTTGGAAGTCGTACGTATAAACCGTATGTCCATATAAATTTCAATACGTTACACAGTTAGGCGGGTACATCATCCTGCGAAAAAATTTACAAAAATCATGAGAATACCTGAATACCTAAACCTGAATACTCATAATAACTATATATATACCTAACATGAAATAACTGCTACAGTACACGCGTGTAAACATCATCAGTAAAATACTATTTATAATGTTATATATTATTAAGTTTTTATCAACTACAGTGCCTTGTCGTATACATTATGAGTTATGACCCTGGCAATAGTTATTGTTTTTATTTTGAAAAATAACTGTTAGATAAATCAGATGAATCATGAATGTATTATAAATTATGCAATCTAGTATCTATAAAGTTTAGAGTGTATTTTCGTATACCACTGATAACAACTCATAACAATAATGGAGCTTAACCTATATAATGTGTAACACATTTTTCATTAAAACCACCTAATAAACTTGTAAATAATAAAATACTTATACCCGTAAATATACCCGAACATCGATTGGGGTGTATCACTCCATTGATTGAGATAAATGAAAATATAATATTATTTTATTAATTAATGTTGTTTTAACATATTATTTAGCGCCATAAAACAAATGTATGTACACCAATTTATATAAAAAATATATATACTGTTTTTATTACGATTTACATAATTGCATGTATCACGATATTTTCCTAAATCTGGTTTCAACAATTCTGTAGCCTGTGTGTCTGATAATTAGGTACCTTTATAATCGTCCCATACAAGTATGACGTACCTATTATGGCTGAAGATTTAAGGTATTACATTTTTTGTTATAATAAATAATCAAAAATTAACATATTACATAATGTTAGGTATCGTGTGTTAAGAGAAAAAAAAACGTCTATATAAAACTGAGTTTATTTGTTTACTTCTACATATATATAAATATATACATATATTATGGGTACGAGGAGGTATATAAAAGAAAAACAGTTAAATAAACAAACGTAACTTTTCATAAATAATATATATTAATGTTCCGAACGGCCTGTTGTGTATATAGGTATACCTACATAATAATATCGTGTATAATATGTATATATAAATGTATAGACTTAATTCAAAATAATTTTGATAAGACTATCGGAATAGGAAAACTGGGAATAAATCAATGACGTTTATTTATTTTGTATAGTATTATTTTTATAATAATATGAATATACGTTATAAATGTTAATGAGTCTGCGTAGAATATTAATTTTTGAGTAACTTTTCGGAGAGATTTATTTATCATCTAATTTGAAATCGAATAATATATTATAAATATTATAGATACATCGTTTTATATTTATTTATTATATTATGATGACTTATGGGTATTTATTATTCTAACAAGGTAGGTATAGACTGCAGTACAAATGTATAATCATTATATGTTTAGTTATATTGGCATATATTATTATGTATAGTTTATTTGAGACCAGTAAGACGTTTATACATATATTATCGCACGTAGGTGGTATTCATCGAA